TATATATATATGTTTTAATAAAAGCATGTGCTGAGTGTCATTGCTCTAGCTTGCCTTGATTGTGATTGCAGAGATTTATTGCATTTAACTTGCTGTGTTATGAATAGCCCTGGCATCCCCTACAATAAATTACCAAAATGGTGCAATGGAACATGTTAAATAACACCAACAGAGCAAAAGTTGATCTTCGACTGCGCTCTTAACTCATTTTAATAATATCTCATAACAATAGCAATCATGACATATTTGTAATGTAAATAATGCCAAGTGCATTACTGTGCCGCATCATCCTGCAGTGTAGTCATATAGCCCTGATTACTGTGGATCAGTTGTGCACTTGCTGGGTAAATGTGTTACAATTTACCATGTACACTGATTGTAACCAGCTTTGGTTACATATATAATATTATATATATTTATATATATAACCGTCTCCACACACACACACACATTACTTTAATGTACCTTTACCCAATGGTGCTATGGAACATGTTAAATAACACCGACAGAGCAAAAGTTGATCTTCGACTGCGCTCTTAACTCATTTTAATAATATCTCATAACAATAGCAATCATGACATATTTGTAATGTAAATAATGCCAAGTGCATTACTGTGCCGCATCATCCTGCAGTGTAGTCATATAGCCCTGATTACTGTGGATCAGTTGTGCACTTGCTGGGTAAATGTGTTACAATTTACCATGTACACTGATTGTAACCAGCTTTGGTTACATATATAATATTATATATATTTATATATATAACCGTCTCCACACACACACACACATTACTTTAATGTACCTTTACCCAAAATATAAAAACAAACCTGTGTGTGTGTGTGTGTGTGTCTAGAATTATAATAGTTGCTCCATTTTGCTGAAAAAGGAATGCCTTAAATCTCTCGAAATTACTTTAAACAAAAAAGTATTAACCACCCTTAAGTTTAATTAAAATTATAATTTGCTTTTATATATATTATTTTTTGTAAGTAACACAATGTATTATATATATATATATATATATATATATATATATATATTTTTTTTTTTTTTTTTTTTTTTATGGTTACATATATAATATTATATATATTTATATATATAACCGTCTCCACACACACACACACATTACTTTAATGTACCTTTACCCAAAATTAACCTCGATAAGAAGATCTCAGATCAGAGTGCATTGTAAATGTGTCCACGTGGAGAGATTGTCATAAAGCTCAAAACAGAGGATTAGTCTGTGCAGTAAATGCCTGGATGAGGTCTGTTTATCTGCTGTGCTGCATGTGACATCTGTCTATGATGAGATTATCAACTCAGAAATCTGTGATCTATTACTATGTGTTGTGGCGGATAACACGGTCTGCAAATATGCTGCAATTCATATTGGACTATGGTACATTTAGACAGTGACTGGCACATTGCTTCTGCTTTGCACTTGCTTTTGCATTTGCTCACAATGTTTCTTGAATCTTGTTCTGTAGTTCTGGGATTCTGGTGCATATAGTCCTAGTCCTCGACTTCCTGGGCTTCTGCTTTTCCGACAAAATGGTAAGATGAAAGATATAAGTTACATTCGCTAGAATCAGATGACATTAAGCGCCTTCAGTACCACTGTTTTTTAAAATAGATAATACATTTTAGATATATAATGTCTTTTTTATCAACAATAATTGATTAGTTAAAGCTGCAGTCCGTAACTTTTTTTGGTTAAAAATGATCCGAAATCAATATTTGAGCAAGTACATAACCAGCCAGTGTTCAAAACTATCGCCTTAAGGCCATGTCCACACATACACGGGTATTTGGAAACTGCACTGCCATTGGTTCGTGCAGTGTATTAAAAAATGAACCAATGGCTAGGCAGCGGGGCTGCACGAGCCTATGGGCGGGGGACCTGGCTGTATAAGCGG